CCCATTTACTGTATATGCACAAAAATAAATAGGCAGGCAATGCAATCCCTGTGTCACGCACAACACAGTTGAATACACCCGGGGTAAAAAAAAAAACCAAACCCGAAACGTTCCCTTTTTTTGCCTTTAAACAAAAAAGAAAATGTGAACAAATACAAAAATCTGGAAGCACAGTTAATGAACTTAGAATCTGATTTATAAGGTTTGCAGTCAGACGTAGGTATGGAAATCGTGATGTGGAAATGTATTTTTGTTAAGATGAGCTTTTTAGCGCGGGGGCGCGATCCTTTTTTCCCTGGATGATACCCTCATCACGTTAAATTGGATCCTGCAGTTCCCAGTTTCTTTAAGAAATCCTGAGCCGCTGAACTGATTGAAATAGGGTGAGTTGTGGACTATGCAAAGGGAGTGAAAATATTTGTCTTTTTCTGATGGCGATCCAAGAAGCATACGGAAATCGGTAAGGCCAGAAGAGCTTCCTCACCCGGAGGAGAGCATGGGAAGGGAGGAGGAATGGACCACGTATGACCAGCTCTTCCAAGATGCTTCAGAAGAAACAGCCGACTTCAGCTGCCCGTTGGGATGCTGGGGTTCTCGAAGGCTCTTGGATCCCTGATGGCAGGAGCGGCTGCACGTGGAGCTACGGGAGCACGCGGGCACCGACCCCTCCCTCCCTCCGAGCCACCTCGGCACTCACGAGGGGCGGGGAGCCAGGAGCTGCGCACGCATCAGGCAACTGCTGGTGCGAATACAGCGCAAAACGCGGTTTTACCTTTTTTTACTCTAAATGCCAGTCATCACGTTTTTTGTATTCTGTATGATTTTATATGTAAGATAGCCGGTGCCCAATAAAACAGATGCAGTGAAGTGAGGTTACCCTCTCCAGCTACTTGCAGCGTAACGGGTCGAGTTATTTTCACATGCTTCCCTACATTAGGTAGAAAACAGACACATTTTTCTGCTGACACCAATAAATACTTGGGGCTGTAACTATTCATTAAAAAGAGCAACTTGGGCATTTGCCAGAGCTGTCCGGGGGTGAAGGGCAGAGGGGGCGAGGTGTGGAGTTGGCCTAGGCAGATCCTGCCCTGCTGCTGAGCCCCATCCTGACACCGACGGCCGCGGGGCTGATTTCTGCCTGGGGCTTTTTCTCCTTCCCATGCATTCAAGATTCTTATTTTGGGCGCTGTACAACTCCACGCCTTTCCACCATGCTTCACTCGAGTGATTCCAAAATGACTTCTCAACTTAAAACGAGCTTTGCAACCTGCGCCTAAGCCTCGTGCTCCCGGACTGAAAGCCATAGCCGAGAGCCCAGCGAGGCTCCACCGCGCGGTGGGGTGGAGGACAAGGACGCTGCCACCAACGCGCAGCAAACCCTTGCGGGCGGGAGCAGGGAGGTGCCCGGGGGCTGGACTCGCGAGTCGCGCAGACGTCGGGTATTGGAGGAGCCACCTTCTGCGGTCCCCAGTGCCTCCCTGCACACGGGTCCTGCGCTTTCCCTGCCCTTAAGGCGGGCAATAGCTGGTAAATGGAACATCTCGAGGGAGTAAATACGAAGAGTTGAAGCGGGCCTGCTGCTAGCAATTGGTTTCTGTGACACATATGAAAGTAATTTAACTTTCTGAAAGGGAGAAAGCCTGCTGCCCTTTTCTTTGTCTGAAGACAACGGCAAATCCTCCAGCGTGCAGCATTTTCTCTGGTTAAAAACATGAAAATAAAACAATGACCTTTCTCAGCTAGCGCTCGGGGAGCGGGGCGCAGCCTTGCTGCGTAGCCCTTGGGCTTCACCCCGAGCTGTGCGGGCACGGCGACCTGCTGGCACAGCAAACACCCTTCCAGTGCCCCGAGCGCCGGCGGCCCCCCCGGCCCCTGCTCTGCAGAACCGGCCGTCCATCTGGGGGGACCTCGTCAAAACCCGGCCCGTCAAAACCTGGCTCATCAAAACCCTGGCTCATCAAAACCCCGGCGCATCAAAACCCCAGCTCAAAGGGCTGCGGCAGCTCAGGCACGTGGGGAACCCAAACCAGGCCCTCGGTGCTGAGGGAAACCAGGACTGACGTTTAGTCTCTGTTACTGTAAAGGGGCGAGCATCCCGTTGCTCACGCTCCTTATCTCCAGCCATGTGAACTGCAGGGAGGCGGCACGAGGCGCCAGCGTCCTTCCCCGAGTGCCAAACGCCTCGTCCCAGCGCTGCTGCCCCGTGCCCTCCCTCTCCCTGGAGGGGTTCGCGCCCGGGGCCGGGGCGCAGCCGGAGCAGAAACAGGCACAAGCCATGCAAGACAGCGGGCACGGTGCCGGGGGGCAGGGCACGCTCACCCCATCCGGGCTGGGCAAACCTGGCTCCCTTCTGCTGCCTGCAATGCTACCATCGCCCTGTTTGAAGAAATAACTGCTTGTTGAGAGCGGTGAAAGGACATGGGAGTTACTTGGACAGACGCCCGCGTTTCAGCGGAGGAGGAGGGGTCCAGAGCTCTACAGCTCCATAGGGCAAGTCAGCAATTTTATGGTGGGGGATTCAGACAGGTAGGGTCTGTCGTCTGGGCAAGATCCAGAGATTCCCGTTCGTAACACCGCAGTGGAAAAGACGAGGGTTAAATCATCCAGCACGTTGAGGGAGGAAGGGTGCCCAGCAGAAACTAAAAACCTCATTGTAGTTCACTTTCAACCCCCAAGTGAAATAAAGTGTATTGACTGGAGGAGCTTTTTATGGTATAGGGGAGCTACAGCCTAGCTCCGGCTGCCGTAGCTGTGCTGGCGGGGCGAGAGGTTGTTACCCATTTGGAAAAGAAATGGGGGTTTTGGAGCATGTTGGAGCAGGTACCCGACACCATGGGTTAGGTGCAACCGGCGTAGGGGCCAACAGCTACATTTAAGTAGTTGTAGTTCAACAGTTCATACAAATCACTCCTTCATCCTGCAGCCTCAAAGCATTTTAGGGAAAGGATCTCTCCGGTTTTAGTCATTATGCAAACAGTAATGAAAAGGAGGGATGTTCTACCAGGCCAGATAACTTTGTATAAACCAGTATAGATTTTCTTTTTTTGGGCCCTATCAAAGGAATGAGAGGTTCTGGACGTGGACTGAGGACATCACCTTCCCCAGGCTGGAACACCCAGGAGGTCTCGAGAGCCTCTGCGTGCCCGCTGCACGGCGGTGGCCTGGGACGGGTCTGAGCCCCGAGCCCCTGTCCCGGGCGGAGGAGCACGGGGAGGTCTCTTCCACCGGAGGCGCTTGGCAGCCCGGGGAGCTCCAGCTCGTGCACCGCTTCTCCTCGGTGGCACCAAGATGCAACCAACTCCCCGCTTCCCCACGTCGGAGAGCTGGAGCCGGGCTGCTCCCCCGCTCCGTTTGCCGAGACGAGGGGACGGAGCCGACCTTGTCCTTGAATCGCCTCCCGCCCGCTCCATCCATTTACTCCCCGGTTTCAAACGTACTCAAAGCCAGGCTGGCAGCTTCACCAGGGCACGCTATCCCCAAAGCGCTACTGAAGCCCGTTGTTCCCAGCTACAATAAGAAGGTCTTCACACAAAGATTCTTTATTTTTACTGCTGTGGCTTGCTCCCCCCTGGCCAGAGAGGAGCCTGTACAGCCAGCAGTGAACTTCCAGCAGTGCAGATAAACCAAACTATTAAGAAAAGTGAGAAAACAAGAACCATCTGCTCTGATTTACTGCGAAATGAAGGACTACCAAATCCTCCCTCCCCTTCCATGGCTCCAAAGCCGCGTCCCCTTTCAGTCCCAGCAACGCACGCTTGGGGTAAGCAAAAGGAAAGACTTACCACGGGACAAGGCTGATCCAGTCCGGGAGGGCCCGGTTCCCCCTTCTGCCCTTTGGCTCCTTTTCGCCCCGGTATTCCTCGCTCACCCTGTTGACACAACGGGAAAACGTCAGGAACAGGAGGGTGATGCCTGGGCTTTACCTGGCTTGGCACGTGGAGCCCCACACCTCGCCCAGGGTAGGGACACTTGCGCTCGTGTAACCTCAGCAGAGTCACAGAATCACTGGGGAAATCTCCAGCTAAAGCTGGGTGGGGATACTCGAATAGGTCCTGTTACAACAGAATGACCAAGCGACCAGTTCCTGCTAGAAACCAGCTTGGGATCTGACAGTAAGTGGGAACTCCAGCTTCCAGTCGCTGCCCTGCGCTCGCCCGGGCTCCTGCCCCTGGCTGGGCACCCCTTTATTTAAGGATCCCTGTAACAAAACCTTTGACTTGGATCCACTGTCAAGGTCCATAACCCAAACCTGGCGGTTCTTTGCAGCCTGGAGCTGTCAGGCTGCTCCGTTTCCCCACAATGGTTGTGCCAGGGGCGGGCTGGCAGAAAGCACTTCCAGGTGGGTAGGAATTAACTGCGTGTCCTGCCCTGTACTGGGACCATGCCGATACTTGTGCCCCAAAAAAAGCCTTGTAGCAATGACCCGAGAGGGGACCAGCACCCGGGGCAAGCGTTGCTGCCTGCCGAGAAGCGGCCGGTCCTGCCCCCACCCCGCTCGCCCCACGGGCATCTCCATAGCCGTAGCCCACTCACCTTCTCCCCTCTTTCGCTCCTCTCTCCTTTCTCTCCTCTCAGACCTGGGAAACCCTACCGTGACAATTTTTAGGTGGGGAAAAAAAGAGGTAAGTTCAGTATGTGACCGTCCCGGCATCTCAGTTCAACATAAGCACTCCCTAGCAATCAACCCGCCCTCCCCGGTGAAGGACGGGACATTTTCTTCCTCATGCACTTGGTACCTCAGCAACTTCTTGGGAAAGGTACTGCTGTACCTACCCAGTAACATTACCTCTACTGGAGGTTTTTGTTTCACCGAGTCCAATACAAATCTCCTCAACTGGAGGGGGAAGCCCCCCCCGGCCCCCTTAGCTGAGCAGCGATACACGGTGCGGCACGGTCGCTGCTGCGCGGTGGAAGCGATCCAGCACCCGGCCGGAATGAAGCGCTTCCCTACAGACACGGTTCCACGGGCTCCGCGTTGAGGGGGCAGTGGGCTATACAGCGATAGCTGCGTATTTTCCCAACAATCTCAAGCAATTTGATGGCCTTTACATACACATTTCCACATAGCACAATTAATGTTCCCCATACTCACATCCAATCCTGGCTCCCCTGGCTTTCCCTGCAGTTGTAAAAACAAAAATTACGACATGCCGTATTGAGTTTGGTGTTGCAGGCAAACTTGGATCCAATTTGGTGAAATAGTACAGTAGTGACGGCACGGGCTCGCCCAACAGCCCCTGGGGCCGCAGGGAGCTCCTGGCCACCACGCATCGGGATACTGCCGGAGAGCCCGGCTCCGCCATTCTGGCTGGACCCCCCCCAGCAGGGATTTTATCAGCCCCTGTTTTAGGATCACAGCACAGCATCGCCGCTCCTTTCCCCCGCTGGTGATTACCTTCTCTCCTTTGGTACCGGGTAAACCGATGAGCCCTGGAGCACCGGGGAGGCCCTTAAGGAAAAAAAAGAAGCAGGGCATTGGGATGGTTGCTGTAAGGCCGGACACGAGAGACGGGAAAACAACTCACAGCAGGTCCGGCGTCGCCGTGGTCCCCCTTCTCACCGCTGTCGCCTTTTTCTCCCTTTGCACCATCCAAGCCCTGCGTAAATGAAAGGGCATCAACCAAGACGACCTGGCAGCTCTGCCCAGGGCAGCCAGCCCGGGGGGCCACCGCCGCCTCCCGCCTTGCTGGGGTGCTTATGCCCGTGCTGCCGTTAACATTTTCCTCTTGACCAGACCACATCTGAAAACAGTTGAAAATACAGGCTTAAGCTCGTGGGTTTAGAAACCCTGACTTGCATGTGCCGCCCGCCCTCGGGACTCTGTGCTGGAGGAGGATTTAAGATCATAAATGTGTTTGGAAGGAGAAACAGCTCGTTCTCCAAAATGCCAACTGCTGAACAGCACAAGCAAGGGCTGTGTTGTCGCAAACAGTGGCAAAAACCTCAGTCCCCAGAGCTGACGGGGCTCTGAGAGCCTGTAAATACACGCTGGCAGCCTGGAAACGGCGGTGACATTTGATTTATTGACTTACTTTAGGCCCCTGGATTCCTGGAGGACCCTGCGGGAAAGACAATGGTGCATTTGAAAACAACAGAATTTAAAAACAAACCCCAAAGTTTGCTTCCCAAACCATCTCTTGCTCAAATTATGGGCTGGCAACGGCCAAATGTTTCTTTTCAAGACAGGTGCCAGTTTATTTGGTTCTCCGACGTCAAACTGGGGGGAAGAGGAGCTGAGAAAGGACAGCTTTGCGTAACACGCAACGATAAAGCTCTGCCACACGAGCTTTGGGGTGTGAGAGCCCCCAAGAGCTCTGCTGAAGCAAGTGCCAGCGGGCAGCCCCCCGCCGCCGCGGCCCCCCGAGCCCGGCAGGGCTGGGGACACCTCTCGGCTTGTGAACACTGCCCGGTTTGAAGCGTGGTGCACCTTGGTGTGCACCTTGGGCACAGCAGAGGCATCCCAACCCTCCCAATGCCCCCGGCAGCTCCTCAGCCTTCTGGAGCACCGCAGGTACCAAACACCTTGGGTACCTGCATTAAAACACTCTGTGCTCATCGCCGCCGGCATCCTCTCCCACCGCAGCCAACGGCAAAAAACTTACCAACTCGGGCAAATTTGTGGGAATAGAGAGACCATGACGGGGGGAGCAGGTTTTCCCATTCCACAAGGTTTTATCTTTTCCCCATCCCAAGGAACAACTTGGGTTATTTGCAAAATATGCCACAAATGTTGATGCACTCCCCTAAATCAGGTGCTTCCGTCTCTCCCAAGGCCGCACCCAATGCTGTAGCTCTTCCCTGTTTTTTTTTTTTCCCCAAATTTACAGCAGCCCACAACTGGACAGAGCAAACCACCCCGTCCTTAGCCCATCATATGCCATAATGAATCTGCAGCGTGGCTCAATCGCACGAGCCGCTTCCCAGAGTCCTACCATAGGGCCGGGTAATCCGGGGGGTCCGGGCTCGGGTATGATCTGCAGAAGGCAATTAAAGGGCATGTTAATGAGGCTGGGCGCAGAGAGAAGAGAGAAACCTCACACGGCCCTGAATCATGATTTAATGCCCTTGATTAAGGCCACTACATCAGACTATCGGCTAATCAAAGAGCAGGTTGGAGGATTGATTTATAAATAAATGGATGTTAATAAGCAGGCAGACCAAGCTAGCCTCTGACACGAGAGGCGTGACCCGCGCTGCTCCGTGTTTGCCAGTCACAAAATGGGTGCATTGGAAAATCAGGCCGTTTCCCGCAGAGACTGGAGGAAACCAGCCCTTTTGATTAAAAAACCCCAAACCAACAGAACAGAATCAGCGCTCTCATGTCATTAATAAAAACCTATCAAACCCCACCACTTTTTCTTTTCAGCAAAAGGCAGGAATAAGGAAAAAGCGATGCAGAAATCCCACAAAACCGCAGGGAGCCCGGTGTGATTTTGGAACCAAACGTGATTATAACAGCAGCATCCGATATCTCGACCACCAACGCTAAATCCGAAGTAACTTGGTAGTGCTGAGCGTGCAAAACGTTCTTCCCTAAGGAATAAACCCCATTTAGAGGCGTCTGGAAGTTCCTGTAGGGATCAGTTGGGTTTCGCTCCCCCTGCTGCGCTGCTGCCCCGCCTGTGCCTCCCCCCTCGGGCAGAGGCGTTGGGTGCCAGGATCTCACGTGGTTGTTCTGCAGACACGGTGACCCGGTGTCTCCTTTTTCTCCTCTGTCTCCTTTTGGCCCTTCTGCTCCCTAAAAGATAAACGAGTAATGCTAACGTGGGAAAGCGAAAACAAGAGAGAGAAATGCATTTGTCCTAAACTCCCTAAACTTCCCCTAAACTCCAGCCTTGGCTCGAGCACAGCTCTCGTTCATCCCCGCGGGACTGCGTGAGAACAGGAGACCTCCTCCTCCTCGCTACCGCCTTCCATCGCCTTCTGAATAAGCCGGTATTGGCATCGTGAGCAAAGGAAATGCAAAGCCCCTGCACCTTCCAGCCGCAGGAACGCGGTGCGGACGGGCCATGGCTTAGAGCAGCAAACTGGGAAAACCCAGCGTTTGCAGCGATCAGCGCATTAACGAACCCAGCGGCA